TAGAAGCTGCCATTTGCCGCGACTTTGCGTCTCCCGAAAAGCTTGAACAGCTGGCTGAAGACTACACCGCGAAACTACAGAAACAACAAGAGTTGCGTGCGATCGAATTACGTGGCACGGCAGACGCAGTGAAAGATTAAGAAGAGAAATAAGGTAACCTAGTTGTACTAGAGCAACATGATAAAAAGGATGTTTTTGTCATCTGTTGATTTCGAAACCATAGTATGTACCTCTAGGAGTAGAAGGAGTGTGTTTTGATTAATAAAAATCAAAGAGTAAGGGTAAGGATAAGAAGACAAACAAGGAGACCATAGGCACATGACCAATTGAGTTGCATCTTCTGGCAACTGGCAACCCTAAACCCTACCCTCTAAGAGGATGACAACAATGTTGACCCCAGCACACCCGACAGTAGAACACCGACAGGGCCACATGGGAGAAGCAAGAATTTGCAAGAGTTAGCGAGTACACCGAATGCGCAACTGAGTCCGGAGGAGAAGACGTTGAAGCAGGTGATGGCGCAAGTTGCTACGTCCCCTCAAGCGATCCAAGACTTAAGGCCCAACGTTCATTGGTCAGTGGGGTTGGTCACTGAGATCGCAGAGGGGCTCTCCTTAGAGAACGGGGGAAAATGTAGGGAAAAGGGGAAAGCTCTGAAGATGGTCTCTTCCTTTCAGAATCAGGGGCCACTGACTGCTGAGCTTTAAAAGACGGACAAGACATTCTGAGAGATATCCACTCTGACGTCGAAGAACGCATAAGACGAGCGAAGGTTCTCGTGCTAGCCGCGACAACGCCGCCAAAGTGCTCCCCGTCGACTACAGAAACAGACAAGAATGGGAGGACGATGCTACAAGAAGTACAGGGCGCAGCAGGTGGGCAGTCCACAAGACCTACTAGTACCTCCATTGCCTCCAATTTACCAAAGAGCGCCCTGCAGAAGAACTTTCGCCAAGACGCAGAAAAGGTGGCCGGCATGTTTCATAAGCAGTCACCTTTGTGCGCTCGAGCGCCACCCTTGATCTCGGCCACATGCCGAGCTCTTCTCTTACCCGAGTCGCAGCTTGAGGAATTTGGACACCAGAAAAGGAACGATCCAGGAAATGTTCATGTTGGAGGTACTAAGGCAGGTAGATCTTCAAGTAGAGTCTCGCGCAGCACAGTGTCATCTCCTGGTGGGCATTTGCCTGGCGGAGATGCTCGAATAAACAAGGCAGGAGGTGTGTCGCGTAGCTTTTGGTATCGATTAGCGCTCATGTCGCGAGAGCAGCAGCTCAAATTTCTGCGTAGTGCAAAGGTCCAGCGTGTAGTGAGCCGGTTTAGACGGGAGATGCACGAGTATCTGTGCGAAAGAGGTCGCCGACCAGTGGACATCTACTACTACCATCGTTCTGAAGAGGACTCGCCAGACAAAAAACTGCAGACCTGGCAAGAACAAATGGCACGAGGGGGAGCCAAAGCGCAGAGGAAGCTTTTCGGAGTGACGACACCGAATAAGAGACCGCTTTTCAGTCAGCATTCGCTTCTATCCTCAATGCTTTCGGCATCACCAGCTATTCAATTCCAGAACGAACAAGAACGCGAATTCATTGAGTTGATCGACGAATTGAACGAACGCGTCGCGGTCGCGCAAAGTGCCGCAAACGCTCATCAATTAAGGCCAAGGTAGTACTGCTCACCCTATAATGTATAATGTTGATCCATCTACTTCACAGCCAATTCCTACAACTTGTTCCATCCTCAACACGGCCAGTCATCTTCTCCGTTATTTTCCCCCTTGAATTAATCTTTGAAAAGGTGAGCTTATGCTTAGTAGACGTAGAGGATGAAATTTTCATATTTTCGTGAGGGGCTCATCTCATCATATTTACATTTGCCTCTAAGTCATCCAGGGAGTCGGCAAGTACCAGCTGGTGGAGCATCTTCTTCGGCGAATACCAGTCGGATGACGCAATCGCTGCCAGGGTCGCCTGTTGGAGGTGCTTTAGGAGGACGACGGAGATCAGCTGGAGGAGTTCTCAACGATTAAGGCTCTCACTAATTATTCACTTAAATTCTTCTAATGTTGTTTTTCCTTCCCAATCCGCCCTGTAGAGTATCTATAAGTGTCTACTTTTGGTATCTATTGAAGTACTTGAAAATAGGCAGTCTATTTTTGGTATACTACAAAGAAGATGGCATTGAATACTTCTACAAAGATGCAAGAACTACAACATAGAGACGAATATTCGACAGCCCTAAAACAACTTTGGCGAGCGAAATTCTCGATTCACACGTCCCGGAACGTCACCAGGGAAAATGCGCAACTCTGCTTCCCCACAAAAGAGAGGCGACATGGAGTATGCACAAAGTACGATTGACGCAGCAGCGAAGTTCAAAGCGTGTAAGACACGAAGCAAGGAGCGTCAGGCGAAGCTGAAGCGTGAGGAAGAAGAGCGAGCCAGTAGACAATTAAGGGTAGATTTTTGGCGTTTCTGTCACCCTTTGTTTTGACTCTCCTAAGGGAGAAAAGCAGAACATGGCTATTTCTGGCTCTGCTATCCTCCCTTAGGACAAACGGGACACTACCAGAAACACCAAAGCCTTGCGGTATGGCCCCTACTTCTAAGACAAAATAGTAGTCATAGCGGAAGCGCATCGTCCCACAGCAACAGTACTAGTTGTTTAGCAAGTAGTGCTTGCAGCAGCAACCTGTCGACGGCACGGGGAGGTGGAAGTGCTACTTCTAGACGTGACCACAAAGACAATGAAGAAGATCCTTCGTCCACCTCTGGTGCACAAGAACACCCTATTACACAGCCAAATCGTAGAGGTTCAACCCGTGTGCCTCTCACGCGCATGTCCACAGGGGCGAGTGGAAGCTCTAATAACCTAGAAGATAATGAGCTGCCGCGAGATGATCCTGTCACTGGAGTGGAGATAGCACAGCAAGGAGATTCTTCATCGGCAAGTGCACACTTGTCCAGTGCGGGAAAGCAAGAAAAGCAGGAGTTGTCAGTTGACATCACGGCAAGCCAAAATGCGGGGATGGCTTTGAGGGGAAAGAAAGAGGAATGCGAAAGCTGGCTTACACTGAAGCAGGCGCTGTTGCAAGAACACGGCAAAGCTGCAAATAACACTTAAGGTCCTAAAATAGTACTAGAAACTGTGTTATACCACTATTTGACTTCGTGGCTGTCAAGAATTCTAAAGTAGTACTAGAAACTGTGGGTTTATAGTTCAAGAATCGTTTCCACCAGGTGCAGGCTAGGTCAGTTATTACCTCAGGGACTTCTATTCAGCGCGCAATCTCTAAAGCACAGCCTCCTCGACGCCTGGCTCACCGGCTACATCAAACGTTGGAGACACGACCGCGGTGCAACCGAATGACCCAAGGAATATCAGTGACCCGATCGATTACGTGAAGCGCCGATCGGAAAACTTGACACAAGATTATGAGCATGCTTTATTCTTCGTCTTACTCTTAGTCTCAGCATACATTTTTCTGCCAGTGTCAGTGATTGTGATCATAGTTGAGGTAAACCAGAAAGTATGAGAAACATCCTCTACTTACGCAATAACTAAAGTTTCAGCACGGTTGTTACATTTTTCTAAGAAATGGAAAAGCACATGGACGAAGCGGCATACCTGCTGGAATTGTCGAAGGATATGCTTGCGAAAACCCGAGCCCCGATGATCGAGATGAATGGTCGCACACAGTTAGCCTCTCTTATTAAGGCTAGTAAAAGAAATGATCCTAATCCATCCTCTGCGGCATCAATCTTGGTCCTCCCGTTTTATTTTTGAAGGGAACTCCCATTTTTCCCTTTAAAAGTGGGAAAGCGGGAACCAAGATGCTCAGCCCCAAGATGGATCGGGTGGTAGTTCTAATCTTTGTCCAAAGAGCTTCAAAGCTTCGGTTGTCTTCAATGAGGAGAGCGACGCGCCACTTCTTCCTGCTGGCCAGGAGGACGGACTCGAGGATCGTGAACTATCATCAGGTAGCGAACCTATACCGTTGACTGCAATATTTTAAATACTCCCTCTAGAAGTAGTTCTAAATGGAAATGGTGTATTAAATCTTCTAAATTATGACAGGCTTAACGCGTTATCTTAGCAACGCGTTATCGATGCATGATGGTTGGATTCTAGTACTGCTCTACTATAAAATTCTGTTTTATAACGTGTTGCTAAAATGACGCGTTAAGGCTGCCATATGAATGGAAATGGAAATACTACTGCAAATCTTCCAGGTGGATCTGGAGGGGGTATGTTGCCGGATAAGAGAATATCGGGTAGGAAAACGGTTGGAGAGGTGGTGCCTCCTGGACGTCGCTCTGGACGACAACTGAGTCCGAAAACAGCAACAATCCTGCATGACGGTGACGGGGACGTCGATGCTATAGCAGTTGCCATTGCCGCAGCAAATTTTGATCTGGATGACGACGAACTGAACGACCCCATTCTTGAAGCCGTATTGGCTGAACGACAAAGAACAACTCTTGTGCAGTCGGAGCAATATGACAGGAGGAAAAAGTATACTCAGACTCAGACTGCTTCAAATTTCCTAGCTTCTTTCCCACTTCGTACGATCTAGCTAATAGTATGAGAGAGTAGACTTTTTCCTCCTTTCTCATAAGAAAGGAACAATGAAGTTGAATAGACGAATGTCCTTGACGGGTATTGATGTAGAGGATCTTCTTGGCGGTGGATCAGCTAGTGCCGGTGGCAACTTCAAAGGTGCTGGCGTCAAAGGTGCTGGCGGAAGTCGGCGGCAAAGCATGAGCGCATCATCGGCAACTGGCAGCATTCCTCTCGGAGCGATGAGTATGCGCATGAAAACCATCGATCTTGTGGATGACGATATTAAGGCTGGTGCTAACAAGAAATTCATCTTTCCGGGCATCTTGCTCCCCTTTTGAAAGCTACGGGGAAAACAAACTAACGGGGACCAAGATGGATCCCAAGATGGACTTGTCCTCGTAGTTCTAACATTAGTGCGCGCCAGCTTGCAGCGCCACCAAATACTAGTACCAACGCGCATCGTCTCCAAACGCTCTCTAACGATCATCACACGCCGAGCAACGCGCGAAGAAAGTCGCTCGAACAGATTGAAGAAGGCAGTGTATTTAAGACCGAAGAAGTATGTAGTAGTATCCGCCATGATCGCCATAAGTATATATTTTTACTCGTGCTCTATTCGCAAATACGCAGTTTTTGTCATGTCATGGAACCTCGTTTGTAGCTGTGCATGTCTACCTGTGAGGTCCCTAGGTTCTTCATCAACAAGTTATTTACGAGCACATGAATCATTATCCTCTTCATTTTTAACACTTTCCGCTTCCTGCAGTTATTTGGATGAAATAGATAGCATTAGCGATTATACTAGCTCTAATACCACTGGGCATGGAGCTTCAAACAAGCAGAGCACTCGTAGTTTGCTTGCTGACAGTTTGTTACGAGAGCAAGAGCGGCAAGAGGCGATCATTGAGTCGCATCGACAGCGTCAGGAAGAATTAAGGATTGCAAGTTGGCCTATCTCACTCTCAAAGCATATCTAAATCTATGGCCTCCTATTTTCAAGGGGGCAAGGAATAGATATACGACCTATTTTTAGACCTTACTAGATGATAGGAGTCAAGAACTTGCAACCGCTAAAAGAAGAGGAACACAAACGCCACAGCACAGCAGGAACCGGTCGCTTCGAGGACCGCGACGAGTCTCAGAGATGGCACGATGAAGACAGTGTAGCAGTGGACAAGAATGATGGAGTGGCGCTGGATGGACGTGGAAATGCAGACGATAGCCTTGATCAAGTGGAAAGACAGACAGCCAGTAGACCGAGCAGTAGGGAGAGAGAGGGGCAAACTTTGCTGGGCGCGAGGCGTGCGAGTTTCTGCTCGGATCAAGAGAAAGCGCGAATTTTGGAGGATGAGCAAGACATGGCGCGCAAACGCCTCCGACCACACGACCACGCAGAACCGGCAGCAGGTGGAAATAGCCCATCCCTAGTAAACGCTGGAAAACGTGCCTCATCTAGTAGAGAGAAGAAGAAGACTAATGTTAAGGTCAACATTTAGTGTCCATCTTTCTCGGCATCTCGGTACTACCTGCTTTTTCCCTTGTATTATTCCTATGAAATGCTACAAGGGTAACTGCAAAAGGGGTCAAGACGAGGGGGCCGAAATGCAATCTAGCCGACTCTAATAATGCTAATCTGAGGAATCAATTGCTAAGTGGACTCGGGAGCGCATCGTTGAAAAACGTAACTGGTGGAGCAGCACCCCAAGGGAGAGCTAGTGTCGGCAATCCAATGATCATGCAGCATGGCAAAGGCAGCAAAAGTCTCGTTGTGGGCAAATCAGCGACTATTTGTGGCACAACTCGTGCTGGTTCTGGAGGTGATAATCAGCGTCCGTCGAGCTCGAATAACAGCGAGAATAAACAAGGTGGAGGTGGGTCTGCTTCAGGAGGAACTGCAAATCAAGCCGGAGGAGGTTCCGGAGGCAAAGCAGTTTTACCTCCTGCATCCTCTATGGCGAATACAACAACTGGAGGTTCTGGCCTGCAACAGACCAGCGGAACCTCCGCGATGACGATGAAGCCGCCTGGAATGCACCTAGGTGCAGCTGGTGCCGCACCGCATCAAAAAATGCTCTGGAAAGACCAACTGCAGCAAGAGGCTCTACAAAGGGCATTAGCGCAATCTCTGGGCAAAGACAACTACTTTTACGTTGGGTCGTGTAGGGAATTCATCTCGAAGGTGATCTGGAAGATGAACAAGACAAGAGGAAAAAGGCACTTCTCAGCTGGTCCCTGGGATGAATTCCTTACGCGACTAATACTTAGAGGAGGAAAAATTGAAAGAGAGACGGCGTCGTAAGCAGATTACAGGTCTGCCTCCGATGGCACGAAGCCGAACGGCTCCCGGGCTGGGTCGATCGTCGCTCTTCGCACCAGGAGACTTGAATTCGTTCTGTACGAACGCAGGAGAACAACAAGCAGACAATAACATCAACCAGGCTGTAGTACAAAAAAAATCAACCACACACGGAGCAGGACCAACTTCCAGAAGAAGCGATGATCTCTTTCTCTTACATGACGGGGCAACAGGTGCTGGCGCTGTGAAGATGAAGAAGACGATGAAGAAGATGAAGAAGGCCGCTGCGCAAGGCGATTCACATGGCGATCGTGGACGAACCGAATCACTTCTGGACGGCGATTCACATGAGATTGACGATCATAGCAATCTCGCGGGGGCCCAGAAAGGGACGAGGAAATCTCAAGCGGATCTTCAAGGTCCGGATGGAAATGACCATGACGAAAATAACGTTGACCTTGCAGATGAGATTAGGGGTAGGCTTTAGGTGTTTCGGTTACCGCTTGGTATGGCACTCCTAAGGGGAGAGAGCATAACGAACGGGGAACAGAAACACTAAGACCCTAGTGCCGCTAATGAGAACGACGAGCAGGATCATGAGAATGACGAGGAGGAAGCCGATGGACCTGGTTTTGAGGAGGAAGAGCGTCAAAGGCAGGAAGTCGTTGGTAGAACACTAACGCAACAATTTGGCCACAGATCGGAAGCTGATATCGAATTAGAGTCCTTTACACGCGTAAGATTAAGGCTCAAACAATGCAATTCATTTCCACCCTCTGCACGGAAGCATTCAGTTTCTTTCTCTTGAGTAAAATAGTTTCTTGAATTCTAAGGCCAATGAGATTGTAGTGCCATGCTTATCCGAAAGGGAAGAGCTTGCATGTTTATGCGAGAAGCTGCCGGCGACGGACGGGGTCGGTTAGTCCCCTATAGTATACGCTAATGATTCCCGCGGCATTTCTCCCCCTTCTCCCTCTTCTTAGGATTGAGAGAAGTGCACATGCCACATGGACATGCAGGCAAGAAATGAATTGTTTCGTTTTCGCGCTCCTCGTCTAATAAGAACTAAAGTCAATTCCCGTCGCGACAGCTTTGGCACATCTAGTCTTGGTCTCTTAGGCGTCCGACGCCTCCGTTCTGCAACGGAACCCAGCAGTACTACAGCAAATACTTCATCTGGCACGAGCACAACTGGTGCAGCTCCTGCGGAAGATAGTAAGACCTCCACGACTGACCAAAATGCTGGTGGAGATCTGATGAAAGTGAACCGCGTGAAAACGGCTCCAGCTGAGAAAGGTTCTCGTCCTGCAGCTGCAAAGTCGTTTGCACCTAGAACTTCTTCTAGTCATAGTAGAGGCGAGAGAGGAACAAGCAAGAGCAAGACGAGTAGAAGTCGAGACGATGAGGCAGTTACGGCGTCCCCTAATCCATCTTTCGAGGCTGCATCCTAAAGAGGCTATTTAACTGAGAAAGGAGCTCAGGATGAGTCTCCGGATGGATTAGTGAGAGCTCTAAAGCAGGCAGTGAACATCAGACCACAGGTAGTAAAGAAAGTCTTTTCTCAAGCGCATCAGCTTGCATGCTAGGCTCTGGCGGTCAAGGTAATTCAAGTGCAGACAATAGTAATGAAAAACTTCTGCCAAAAATTGAGAACGGAGTCAGCACAAGAGTTGCAGACGCAACATTATCCTCGACTTTATCAAGCCTTTTCTCAGATTCTGACAGTGAGCGTGTGGTCGGTGACCAGAATGCAACTGAAGAGAACAAGAAGAATAAACGCGTTCGCAGACGTGGTAGTACGACTACTACAATGCCTGCCGACTCCATCGCGGCCATGGCGGCAAACGACGAAGCTGGAGTCGAGGAGGGGGGTGGTCGAGGAAGTGGAGATCAAGCGACTGAAGTGGAGAAGCGAAGACGGAGAGTCATTAGCGTCAATCGCAGTAAAAAAAAGTCCTCTGGTAGCGATGCGCAGACAAACAAGATGACAAAATTAAGGCTAGAAGAAATCCATCTTCACAGGCATCCTGAGAAATCCATCATTCAAGGGGAGAAAGGTCCTCGGATGCGTCTCAAGATGGATTTCTATTAGTTCTAACAAAAGACGACCACGATGTAGATAGAGGAAGCTGTACGGAAGAGGCAGATGTTGATAGAACCGAAGATGCTAAAGATTCAAGACGAAACCATCGTCCAACCATCACTGCGGGACATATCGCTGGCGTATTTCCAAGGGAGGACTCTATGGGGGAAGGCAAGAGAGTCGCAAACATTGGAGGCCGAAAGAACCAAGCAATAATGCTCAGCACGACGCGTCCTTCCGCTGCCTTTAATTAAGTCTAGACGTATCTTGTTGGTGGCCGGATCGGGAAAGTAGAGCGGGTGGTCGCTATCTTCCAGGATTCTTCCTGCGTCGACCTCTCACTCTTCTATGACTATGTGATCCCCCAGAACCAGAAGTTCAAGTTGAAGTAAGAGTATCTAATGTAGCAGAGCTGTCCCTTTCGAGGACCGAAGCATTCGCGCAGAACGGCTCACAAGCGTTGACCACGATATCTTCCGCGTCTATTCCCCACAGAAACTCGCGTATGACCGACACAACGGAGGAGCGCTAGTACATAAGGGGTCTCTATTCACTATGGCAGTGGGGCTGAAACTCAAACTAAAAGTAAATGAACTTCGAAAACTCAAAATAACCGAGTTACTGACTGAAATAAGGGAGGTAGCTTAACGCCAAGTGGCTACTCTTCCTTCTCATAAGTTGCATCTCGGTTATTCTCGTCTGTTACTCGCTTATTTTAGTTTTTCGAGTACATGAAGTAGATGAAGTAGATGCACAACTAGACATCCTCGTAAGGAGTTGTACAGCGTCGACGTGTAGTACAACTACCTACTTTTTTTTTGGTCATGCACTGATTCTTGAAAATGAAACTCAAACTACCTTCTAATCGTCAAGGAAAGAAGACTACTTCGAACGCTACTTCGACGAATGTTAAGGCTTCAGGTAATCCAATCTCCAGAAGCATCTTGGGGCCATCCTGTAAGGGAAAAGCAAACCCAGGATGCCACTCAAGATGGATTCCAGGAAGCTCTAAGAATGGTTTGCTTCCATCTTCGTCCACTGCGACGACCACAACTGCTAAAGCCGCAGCGATCAAGAGGGAACATTTAGCGCTGATGCAAGACAATGCTCTCACAGTCGGAAAAGATCCTCCTATGCTTGGAGGAGGCACGTCGGCGCTGAGGCTGTTGACTCAGGAACTACATCTGTTACGGCATCTTGTTGAGGAACTACATTCTCATTCATTAAGTAGATTATATATATATAAGTACTTCTTGTTCATTCTTGACTGATACTTCAGTTAGGGCTGCACTGGATCCATTATAATTAAGGCCTAACCGAATAAAAGGGGTTCTTGTACCAAGATAGATACTCTAGACCTCTACATACGGTGTACTTTTCGGTCTACTACTTTTCTACCTTGTTCCTCCTCTAATTCTAGAGCCAACAAGGAATGCGAATAACAGGAAGGGCAACCGAGAGCCGAGTCCGATCGAACTTAGTCGATCGAAATTCGACAAACTAAGGAGTCGGCTCGGTCCGATCACAAACCTGGATCTGGCAAAACTACCCTGGTTCTCGTCAGCAGAGTGACGCGCAGTAGCATAGGAAGTTGATGCAGGTACGTCCGCAACGAGGAGGCAGTAACCTAAGCGCTGAGAACACTGCGAAAGCACACGACTAACTAGGAGGTTGCGTTCTAGAAAAACGAAAAATAACAGGAGACCTTGAAAGACAGCATAAGCATCAACAAGCTTGGCCCGATCATTCATAGCGTTACTCCCCTGTTGTTCCCTTCACAAACAGGAAGAGGAAGATTAATATGTGATCGGGAAGTTACACACGCACTTAATAGTGTTACTGACAGGACGTGAGCGAGAGTTTGAGTTGCGCTTATTATAACAGACGAAATAGTAACAGGAATCAGAGAAAATCTAAATCAAAACCAAGCATGATAATTATTTGTAGATAAGTATCCATTTACTTAGATAGTTAGTAAGCTAAAGATAGACGTAGTAACCAGACTTACGTAGTAGAGTTCTATGTTATGAGGCAGTCCGATAAGTATCTAAATGTTGATGCCGGGGGTATCGCTAACCTCATTTTTTGCTGAGTATCGCTATCGGGTAAATGAACGTAAATGAATGATTGTTAATGTTATGCGTCACTAAAAATGAAAGTCGCGGTCGTAGACCCAGCACTTATCATGATGTAGTAAAATAACAAGTCAAGACTCGCGCGCAACCGCAAGATGAGAGAGGAGATAAAAGTTTTTCCTTGTACAGTGCAAATTTCCGTAAATGCTTAGTTTGTGTACCAGTAGAGAGCAGTGATTTATTTTTGCCGATGAAGTAGTACATGAAGTTACCTTTCATTCTTCTAGTACCAGTATTATAGTATTAATGTAGTTTTTCCTTTTTATGTGTCTATTCAATAAAAGTCATTTTCATTTTGTCCATTTCCATTTTTACAGGAATCTTCTTCTACTCTCGTTTCGCATTCATACAGCTAGTAGTCGTTTCGCATTCAGTAGAGATGTCTTCAAAATTAGAAGGTTTAGGTTTTCCATAGAAAGAAGAAGATGTGAGAACAAGAAAAGGAAGTGCAATGTCCTCAGAATGTAGTGGTTTCAGAAATTTTAAGTCAAATTTTCGTGTTCATCATGTTTCAATCATACCCCACAGAGCAAAAATGCCTTAGAAGGAGTAGATCATTCTCACACGTCATAAATAGTCTTTTTCATGATTCTTTGTTCTACTTTTTCGTTCTTCCACTTACATCCTGTTCATCAAGCTCTGACCCATTGCGCCATACAATGGATAATATGAAACTTTGCATTTCTGTGCTCCTCCAACAACATGTTAGCCCCACGCTTGCTTCTTCCGTGATTCGTAGATTACCTTGTTATCCCTCTTCAAGTGTTGTCAACCTCAACACCTACTCAGCTTCAGGAATGTCTTGCTCGATGTTACGTAGTCGCCGCTCTGTCTCGTGTGATCGGAGGTAGTCTTTTGGTGCTACCACTGCATGTAGAGCAAGCCGCCGGCTAGCAGGCTCACGGGAGAGTCAAAAGGAAACTTCTGCCGATCCGGTGCTTGAAGCACAGGGCTGAGGCAGGAGCCAATCTAATCTAATCTAATCTAATCTAATCTAATCTAATCTCGTCTGTAATGAAGAGTTGTGGATACTAGAATTCTCGTCTGTGTCGTCTGGCTCTCACTCTCTACGGACCTTGAGCGAGACAAGTAAAAGCAAAGTCGTTCTCGACAGGGTTAAACGTAGTACAACATTGAGACTGACAAATAGAAGCGAAGTACCAATAATTTACTAGAGAAATAAACGATCTCGGCGAATACATCAACAGCGTGTCCAAGTCGGCGTCCAAGTCGGCTGATGTTCACTACGGTGTATAAATCGGTTCACAACTGTAGTTTGCTTCCCAGGTCCCTCGCCCCCTGCCACGCTCATTCCCGTCCCTCATTTTCCCCTACTATGCTCCTTGCTGATGATACCCATGCGCCTTGTTGATGACATTCCTTTGATAGAAAGACGATAACTGTGTTAGCTCAGCCACTACGGTTATTTCTCTTACTTGGTTAGCTACGCCAGAAACTTGTTTAACCTCATGGAAGTTGAACCCACGACTCTACTAGTCCTCTTTCATGAAGATTCTCCCTAGTAAGTTTGTTCTACTACGTAGAGTAGTTTATAGAACGGATGTAGGATGGACTTGGATGGATCGGATGGAACGGATGGACTTTCCACCATTTCAAGTAGGATCGGAGGAATCAGGGGGGTCCATCCGATCCATCCGATCCATCCAAGTCCATCCTACATCCGTTCTATAAACTACTCTACGTAGTAGAACAAACTTACTAGGGAGAATCTTCATGAAAGAGGATTCTAGTAAGTTTGTTCTACTAGGTTCTTGGTCAACAACTACGACGCGGAAATAGATTTTACGTACGACACGGTTAGTTTCTACCTCCCTAGGTAATAGATACAAACAAGATGCCAACAGCCAAGCCTCGCTTCGCTACCCTAGACAGTGACGAGGAGGACGTTTTTGTGAAGAAGTCGCCGGGTAAAGCGGCTGTTTCCCCGAGTTCGTCTTCCGACTCGTCTTAAGGCTTGAGTTCAAATAATGATGAAGGTCCTAGGAGAGACGTGCTTCTCAAGAGAAAAACAGTGATGAACGAAGTCACCAGAGGAGAGACGTGCTTCTCAAGGGAAGAACTGTTTCCCCACCATGGTCCTCAGCAAGATAGATACTAGAACTACTAGATTTTCATAGTCGTGAATGCTCACCTCCTCGAGGCGAGCCAGCTCCTATCCTATCCTATCATGAGCTCTAATCCTCGTCAGAAGACTCGTCTTCCGATTCTGATTGCTCTTCTGAGTCGGGAACTCCGAGTACCAGTGTGCAGCCTCCTGCACAAATAGAACTCCTGGATCATACAGGAAAGAACGACGAAGAAAAGGAGAAGGAAGTGGAAGAAGATTTGAGTAAGAAGACCTTGTTGGTGACAGAGGATAAGGAGGCCCCTCAAGACGTGGTGAAGAAAGAAAAAAGTGTTGAGAACGAGGACAAAGATGCTAAGGCTCAAGATGAAGAATCCACGAAAACGCAAGAAGTTGATGTTGTACCTCAAAATTATGAGGAGATGGACGCAGTAGTGAAAGAACAACAAGTACAAGATGTTGATGAACTAGCTGCTGCGCCACCGACTTCTGCAACTGACAACACACCACCTAGTACATCTGAGACTGACAACAAGAACAAAGATGTTGATGGAGCCTCTTCATCTGACAACTCATCTAGTGATGACAGTTCCTCAGATGGATCATCTTCGGGATCCGGCAGTCCAACAGCTGTGGAGCAAGCTGCGACGGCTGTGGAGCCAGATGCGACTGCTGTGGAGCAAGCTGCTCCTGTGGTTGCGGCAAAAGAAGTGACTGAGGCGGAAGAAAATGCTGCTACTGTAGTTGCCGCGGCAAAAGAAGTGACTGAGGCGGAAGAAAATGCTGCTACTGTAGTTGCGGCAAAAGAAGTGACTGAGGCGGAAGAAAATGCTGCTACTGAGGTAGGGTTATTTGCTTCACTGTTTAAGTGCAACAGCAACTACGATGACAGATTTAAGTGCTGTCAGTAGTTTAACTTTTTTATGAGTATCTATAACGATCCTACTTCCTAGAAGCTGACGAAAACTCCTGTAATCTTCTTCAGAAGTCCTATATTTTCCCATCCTCAACATCTACATCGTCAAAGAAAAAGAATCACTCAGGTTACCCTTGACGACAAGCATGCTCGTGCAGACCAGTTGGAAAAACGTCTGCGCAGTTCTTTCCATTCATTCACCGAGTTGCAAGAGTGTTTCACCGCTCTCGCCTCTGATCCGGATGCTGCAGATTAAGGCTCAAAATGATTCTAATTCTTCAGTGTGAAATGAACTGTTTTAGCCTTTTTTCCTACTTTTTAAGATTCTGTTGATCTGAGGAAATGAGCGTGATACGAAGTGATATGAATTGTCAATCGTTTTTACCTCCTCTCTAAGCATGACTATTGTCCAGTGACTTGGTTGCTTCCGCAGCTGCCACCATGCACGTGCGCCACTGCATCGTGCGTCTCGAGACTGCAGTCATAGGCCATGACACGGCTCAAGATGATGCACCTTTGCGTACAGAGGTCACGCGTGCATTGAGTGCGCAGAAGGAGCATGGTGAACAGGTCGATGAAACGGCGGCCGAGGAGCTGGCGGAGAAGCTGGAGGAAGCGAAGAAAAAACTGGAGACTCCAAGTCCAAATACCACAACTACTACATCATCTTCCACCACTGCTGCCTCAGAAAGAGCTAGCGTCGAAGAAGAAGAACAGGTTGTAGAACAGGAGGGTGTTGAACATGTGAAAGAGCAGCCGACTCAAGATCAACAACTGGATGTTGTTATCGAACAAGATGATGAGAAAGAGAAAGCCTCTGTTCGTGCTGCTACACAGATCCAGGCAGTTTTGCGAGGCAAGAATGCTCGCAAGAACGAGATTGAGCCTCTTCGGTTCGAGAAAAAACAACTACGTCTCAACGCAGCAGCTCAGCGCATCCAACAAGGGTTTAAGCGCTATCGCACTCGCCAAGCCTGGCTCGCTCTGATCGAAAAGCAGCAGGCGGAAGCCGCGTTAGTCTTTCAGAAGCATTTGCGAGGTAAGCGTGCGCGTGACGAAGTTGCAGAACTACGTGAACAAAAGAAGAGGAATGACGAGGAGGCAAACCTTGGGGCACGTCGCATTGCGGCAGCAACTCAGATCCAGTCTGGATTCCGAGGTTTGGCTGGGCGCCGCTTCGCTGGCGAATTGCGTCAGGCTAAAATAACTGCAGCACTCGAAGTACAACGACAACTGGAGGAACAAGAACGCAAGGAGAACACTGCCGCGTCGAAAATCCAACGATCTCACCGATTGGGCATCTGGCGACGAACTCGTGGTACTGCTGTGACGACTTTGCAGACGCTTGTTCGTGCTTTTCTAGCGCGCAAACGCGTAGCTCAACTGCGAGAAGAAGCAATCATGCAAGCGAAAGCGGAGTCTCAAGTCGCCGTCCGCCTACAGGCGATAGCTCGTGGTCGCAATGCACGTTCGCAACTAGCTTCGGAGCAGAAGGCTGCTGTCAAGCTTCAGTCGATCCAGCGTGGGCGTCAGAGCCGCAAAGCCCTTGCCTCGATCAAGGAAATTCATCTACGACAAGTCACTGCGGTGATCCGTTTTCAGACCGCTTTTCGACGTCGACGCGCACAACGTGAGTTTGGCCACACGAAAGCCACAGCTGTGAAGATCCAGAGCCACTTTCGTCGCAAGCGCACTCAGGAAACGGTGTTTCGACCTCTGCAGGACTTAAGGGATCAGCTTCTTGCAGTTCTCGATGGCTTAAGTGTGCCAGAAGCAGCACAACAAGTTGTAGGTGAAGAAGGTGAAGCAGTCAAAGCACCTATGGAGGACATGATCACCCGATTCTCCGAGATTATCGATGCTTGCGAGGAAAAGCAGATCTGCGGTACTCGCTTGGCGGAGGCCCGGGAACTCCTGGAGCTTTGGCCACAGCGTGTCAAACTGACCACAGCAGTGCGAGAAGGCGTGGTGGAAGCGAAAGCGTTGTTGTTTTGTTTGGATGAGGAGAAAATTATAATGAACACTGCAAAAACCAGCACAAGACCTGCTTCTCCGTCTTCCCCTAGTGGTCTAACAAGGACTACAACATCAAGTTGTACACCAAAAATGTTATTCCTTGCCGAAGAAACCTCTCTGCAACAACTTTCCTCCTTGTGTGAAGAGGCTGCAGCTTTGAACACGACATTGGTCGCGTATGGAAAACCTAGTTTCGTTAAGGCCCCACGACCCAATCCACATGATATCCGTCTAAGATCCCTAGTACTACCTTTCCCGAACAAAATCAAACTCGAGAGGACCCTTGGTCTAAAACTGATCATCTGTGGTCTGTTTTCAAGGAGAAAAGTGTTGAACACAGATCGATGAGGCAAAAGATAGGTGGACTGTACCAGTAAGTTCTTCTAACCTCGGATCTGTGCCTTCCCTAGCAGCACTGTCAACGCTTTGTGCAGGGATGAAGCGCAAGATCACAGCCGTGCGAGAGTTGGAGGACGCTCTTGAGTCGAATCTTGGATCGCAATTTGTGGAGCACTCTCGGAGGATGAAGAGGAGTAATGACGGTACTAACGAGATCATTGCAGAAAACACAACCACAACATCAACTCTGCTAACATCTTCGTCTACTTCTACTTCTAGTACAACAAAACTAGGACTACTTCTGTCGCCGGAAGGAGCGTCGCGTGAAGCTGTCTCTCTCTCTTCAAATACCGAGGAAGAAAATCAAGAGCTTGAAGATGAAGAACTTCTGGTGGAAACATCAGATGAATCAGAAGCGATTCTTCAACAAGCAACACTCGAGGATGAGGCGGACGGATTGCTTCTGTTGGATTGTGATGGCGATGCCGTTGAGTTGCTCCACGAGAATCGCATCGACCAAGACGAACTGCGAATGGCACTAGAATCTTCAGCGCTGGATCATGATCAGTTAAGGCTCGGCTTTAGGTATTCCTGTTACCGTTACGTTTGCCTTTCTTAAGGGGGAAAGGCTGCATACCTAAGACGGAGGACACGGGGTAAGGGAACACCACCAAAGCCCTACCTCTAAATCAAGCAGATTCTCCTGACCAGTACATCTCAGAAATTGTCGATTCTGGTGAGGCGCTGTCCACCATTGTTGCCAGCATCAAAGCTGTCGCCGAATCGGCAGACCTGCCCTTATGGCGAGTGGAGGAAGCGCGCGCTCTACTAGCTTCGTTCTGCACAGCACAGATACGAGCGAATTTGCGCACCGACCTGGACTTGCCGCCGGAGCAAGCGCCGTGCCCGCCTTTTTGGCTAGACTACATGCAGAAACAGAAGGACCTGCTTGCATCGTTGAAGGCGGCTGTGGAGGACCACGAGTTCTTTTTCAAGGTGGGCGGGGTGTCTGGTGGAGAGGCAGGGAAGATGTCAGTGTCCTCGTCAGCTTCAGGAGCGTCAGGACCACAGCAGCAGGGACAGACAGAAGATGTTCAAAACGAGAAGAAGAAAAAGTCGGCCTCGGCAGATGCTTCAACATCGTCAATTTTCGGGTTTCTTTCGTTCTGGAGGAAGCCAGCTGCTGGCACACAACTGGCTGAAAAAAAAGTAGAGCAAGAAGATGACCATGCAGCCAGCACATCGACCACTCTGTTGCTGTCTAGAACCTCTCTGTCCAAGTTGTCACCTATCGACGTAGCCCAACACATGCATTAAGGCTAGAAGAAATCCATCTTCACAGGCATCCTGAGACCGTTCTCAAGGAGAGAAAGGTCCTCGGATGCGTCTCAAGATGGATTTCTCTTGGTTCTAAACGCAGCTGGGAGGTTCTTTGCCTAAGGAGATTATCGAGCTTCGTGGTGCGACATCTGAGGCTCGAGCTCAGATCGACCTGCTGCATGCACTAGTGACACGCGAACAGTATCGCTTGGAAGCTATTGCCGAGTTGTCGGTATTTATTGCTGGGACGAATGTAGAGTCATCCGGTGTGGACGTGCCTTCGACTGCTGCCCCATCTACTGTAGTATCAAGTTCATCTGATGAAGAACAACCAGTGGTTGAGACGCAGATGACCACAGAGGACAAGGGCAACTACATGACAAAGGAGACCGCCATCTTCCCTACCGCTTCTTCTCCAAGCAACATCAATTAAGGCTGTAGCTAATGCATCTTTGAAGATGCATCCTTGAAGCGTATGGGGGAGTATCCCAGTGCGATACTCTGGCATACTTTTCAAGGATGCACTTGAAAGATGAATTACGGACAGCTCTAAATCAGCACTGCTATTCTGAGTACATTCGAATTGCAGTACATGACTTGGATTGCGTTTTTGAAACCCTGTGACGCCGCTTTGCAATTGGAATTGGAGGACTTGTACCGCAACCTCCGAGCCGTCAGCAATGTCGAAGAAAGACTGCATGCTGCTTTCAAACACATCGTCCAAGGTGGGAAGAGCAAGAGTAACACGAACATCAAGGAGGGATCAGGATCATCATCCTCACCTAGTACTACTCCGTTGAGTACTATGTCGAACTTAGTGGCTGAGTATCGAAAATACGTACCGAAAGCGAGCGCGGTTGAAGAAGATGCTGGGACAACATCATCAAAGACCAGCACCACTAGTGGTTCTCGTCCTAGTGCCGACCATCTAGGACTAAGTCAACAGTCCACATCATCTACTACAGTTGTACTATTGACGACTTCAAACAAGTCGCTTCAACTGTCTCAATCTCAAAATGAGCTGATGAACATCAAGGAAAAGCAGCAACTTCAGCAACCTGGTGATGATGCATCTGTGTCTGTCTGTACTGACATTTACCCGCCAAGAGAATGTGACATCAGTGCTGAGGAGCAATTATCCGTGTCTGTACGACCGCAGGAAGAACTACAACCACAACCAGTTGTAGTTGACACGAATTCTTCAGGGCAAGGACAGGAGAACGGAGACGCAGTCGATGCGGACGCCAAGAAGATGCATGCATCTTCATCATCACCTTTTGCTGAGCAGGCGGTTTCTGCTGAGCTGTTTTCTCGATTCGCAACTCTTGAGAGCGTCGAATTTCAACAACTCAAAAGTGCTGTGGAGACGTTTGAACGAGATACGCAGAAAAAGTTAAGGGCTGTAACGAGTCACATCCCGCACTACCATGATCCACTTTGGCTCTGATTTCTCTAGTAGGAAAGAAGCCAGGGCCAAGGGGTCACACTCACATTGTAAGGAATGTCAAAATTATTCCGTACCTTCTAAAAAAAGCAGAGAAGGAACGCCGTCGCCGATGGGAGGACAACCTGTCTCTATTTGAGTCTGATACCATGCACATCTCTCGCAAAAGTCGACGACGCACAACGATCGGTGTTGGTAATGCGACACTTCTTGAAGCAGGAGAGGACATGCGGGTATTGTTCATCTTGTGGAAGTTAGAGTTCATCTTGAAGAAGTTAGAATTTGAATTTGGAAATTTTGCATGTGGTTCTGCATTTGGAAGATCATGTGAGTTGTGAGAAACTCATGGTGTTCTTTGTGGTTTTGTGAATGATCAAAGTTTTCTTGAACTTGATCACCCTTTTCTTCAGGTCTCCTCCGGTGCCGGCCCCAGCAACAAGTTGTCCGCATCTCGTTGCAGTGCTGCCAGTTGTCGAGTTGCTTATCGTAGACGCAAAATGGGGATGCAAAAACGCCTTCAGCGTATGAAGACTCAGCTTCGCAACAACTGTGTGGACGCGAAGCAGTCAGCGATGGTTAAGGCTTTATTCCGTATAATTCATCGTCTCATAAGAGGCATCTTGCTGGATAGCACGTTTTCAACTGTATAATTCATCTCTCACGTAGAGGTGTATCTTTGAAGACATGCTTTCAAGGGGAAAAAACGTCAAAGGCAAAGATGAATTCATCATCAAGATGATGAATTCAAGTAGTCGTAAGCTCTAACATGGTCGCTGCGAAGAATGCCTGTATGCGAATGCGTGCTGCAATTGCCATGGCCAAGGAAATCGCCTTCGTGCTTTTAGTGCTCTACTTCGTAGCACAGCAACCCCAAGTGCAAGAGTGGATTAAGGAGGCTAGGGGCTACTTAGAACCTTAAATATATGATTTTTTAGAGGCTAATTATAGAACCTTCGTTTAGTAGAAACAATAAACAACGTGGTCAACGAGATGGATGAGCTCAGATATTCAACGTGAATGATTTTCAAGTACCTACTGCTTGTGAAAGGCTGTTGAAAATAGAAGGAAGTAGAACAGATACCAGAAATTCAAAATTTCTGCTTTTTACTAAGAGGACGGGCGATTAAACACAAGCAGAAGATTTTGATTTGTTTAAACACAACCAGGAGATTAAACACAACCACAAGTATTCTTGCGAATTGCTGTTTTTACAACAAGTTGAACATACTCATATTAACTAGTACGCGTGAGAACTAAGGAAATAGATACAGATAGTGGGAATAAAAATAAGAGGCATGGGACGATAAGAAATGAAAAGCATGAAGTAAGAATCATGATCGTCATGCAAAAACATCAAGCTGACGCAAAATGAAGGGAGTGCGAGTATATTGAGTTATCAACAAAAACCTAACATCAAAATTTGGAATAAAACGAAGCAATGTAAAAAAATTTTGCACTGAGTCGTGGTCTACAATATTTGCTATTGCTTCCATTAAGTAGAACAACATGGAAAATTCACATTTGATGCATATGCCTGGTGATTACTAGGGTATAATCAGTACTCACTTCGATAAATGTAAAGATTAAGATTCGATTTTTTCAAAATCAGGCTTTTCAAAGCTTGTCCTCTGACTGTGAGTGAAGTCTAAGTATGATTTTTCCAAGATTTTCATAAATCCATATTGTATAGATCGTTTGAAAATACAACTGTAGAAAATTGACCAGGAAAACAAAGGGCTTGTACTTGTATCCATCATTTGAAAGACACATTCATAGAGAAACATAAGAACTTCGAATTCTTCGCATAAATCGGGATGGCTTCGACTAATGTGCTTATTGCGGTGCTACAAACATGTGCAAAGGAACTGCATGGATTACATCCCTATACTTCTGAAAGTCCGGCGTCATCGGTGACTCGTAACTGGACAAAATATGCAAAGAATCATCGTGACTCTCCGTAATTGTCGGTACGGAGATCATGAGAAAGCTCTGTCATTGGGGGGTTTCGTTTTCGTCTTCAAACTCGAACTCGGACAAGAATCTTAGATTGTACCTCGGTCGAAGTTCTAGTCGTATTGTATGAGACTGCCCACATCTTCCTCTTGCCTCTTTCACATGCTCGTCGATGTCCCATCTAGCTATTCCCCTCTCTCTCTCCACCTCCACTCGCGAGCCCAGCTATGCTGTTATGACTTGTTGTCGCCTCGTCTTCTCCTACTCCATCCTCTCCATCTTCATTTTAGGTCCTTTATTACCTAAATACAAGGAAGAGGACTTTTATGACGGACCATGAAATAAAGATGTCCGCATTATCAGGCTCTAGCCCGTCAGCGCCGTCTTCGCGACGACCTGATCACATGCTCTTTTTTGAGGGCTCGCATCGTGCGGAAGAGCCTGCAACAGCAGAAGGACCTGCAGCTGGTGGTCTTGGAAGTGCCAGCCTGCCAGTATCGAGGTTCATGGATCCGCGCGCTTACGCGATGTTTCTTGGGTTGAACCTGAGACATTCGAAGAAAGACCAGACGCTTTTCACCGTGTTGCGGCCTTTGTTTTTGGCACCGTTGCCATCGCCGTGGAGCGCCAGGAATGACCCTGCACGTGACAGAATCTACTTTTGGAATGCAGCGTTGGCCGAGAGCTCCTATCGACATCCTCTAGAAGGGTTTTTCGTCCACCTGATCGGTGTTTTGAAGGACAACCTCTTCATGAAGGACAAACAGGCATTGCATGACGCGTTGTTAAACGAGCTGAAGAGCTGTGGCGTTCTCCTAGACGAATCCAACATCGGGCATCAAGCGAATAAGCCCAAGGACACTCCACCAGGAAACTGCGAGTATGGCAGGTGGGAGAGGAAAAAACGAGGAGATGGACTACAGGTAGTAGTACTAGAGATCTGAGACTACATCAATTTCTACAGTTAAAAATCATCTCGATCATGTATCCAAAACCTAGTGAGTCCTCTCCATTTCCTGCTGTACAACGTCATTCCATTCTTCTCAGAACCTAGTGAGTCTCCATTTCCTGCTGTACAATATCACTCCATTCTTCTCAGGACCAAGTGAGTCTCCATTTCCTGCTGTACAATATCACTCCATTCTTCTCGGGACCTAGTGAGTCTCCATTTCCTGCTACAACGTCACTCCTCTCTTCGCAGGGCCTAGTGAGTCTCCATTCATCCCTGCTACAGCGTCACCCCATTCTTCGCAGGACCTAGCGAGTCTCCATTTCCTGCTACAACGTCACTCCTCTCTTCGCAGGGCCTAGTGAGTCTCCATTGATCCCTGCTACAACGTCACTCCTCTCTTCGCAGGACCTAGTGAGCCTCCATTCATCCCTGCTACAGCATCACTCCATTCTTCTCAGAATCTAGTGAGTCTCCGTTCATCCCTGCTACAACATCATTCCATTCTTCTCAGGACCTAGTGAGTCTCCATTCATCCCTGCTACAGCGTCACTCCTCTCTTCGCAGGACTTAGTGGGTCTCCATTTCCTGCTACAACGTCACTCCTCTCTTCGCAGGACCTAGTGAGTCTCCATTTCATGCTACAACGTCACTCCTCTCTTCGCAGGTCCTAGTGAGTCTCCATTCATCCCTGCTACAACGTCACCCCATTCTTCGCAGGACCTAGTGAGTCTCCATTCATCCCTGCTACAACGTCGCCCCATTCTTCGCAGGACCTAGTGAGTCTCCATTCATCCCTGCTACAACGTCACTCCATTCTTCTCAGGACCTAGTGAGCCTCCATTTCCTGCTAAGTACAACGTCATTCCATTCTTCTCAGGACCTAGTGAGTCTCAATTTCCTGCCACAGCGTCACTCCATTCTTCTCAGGACCTAGTGAGTCTCCATTTCCTGCCACAACGTCACGCCCTTCTTCTCAGGACCTAGTGAGTCTCCATTTCCTGCCACAACGTCACTCCATTCTTCTCAGGACGTTTCGGGCCACTACTTCGTGGAAATTTGCGCGGATGTGCGGCTTTTACGCACAAGGTCCGACAACGTTACCGAAACTATTGCTGGAGACATTCTTAAGGCTAGTTTTTCACTATCCCATGTGCACAATGCTGAGTGGGGTCCTCCTTGGTTTGAAGGGGGAGCTAAGGGGGGAGAAAGGGGAGCTCACTAAACCAGGCGTAGTAGATAGTGAAAAAGTACCTCTAACATTCGACATCGTTTCGACTTTCTCAAAAAAGTATGGACCATGTGCCTCTCCCCAACAGCCATGCCTTTCCCTTTTTCGGATGAGGAATTAGACACGCAGAGCAAAGAAAGGGCAAGAATGTACTTTTGGTGGATCTCTTGGTGGATGTGGTGCTTAGCCAATCTCTTTGACCAATCCAAGTTAGTACTTAACATGTTTTTCTTTGACACGCTTTCGCGTAGAAGGGGTCCTCGTCAGCTGGGATCATATCAAGATCAACAACGCCCACAAAAACAGGCACGTCGACGACGGCATGAACAGCACACTGCGGCTGCCGCCTCTTGTCAAGGGCGGTTCTTTCGCGGATCATGAAGGTGATTTGCCATCTCCAAGTGCTCTTGGTCAAACAGCACACATGACCAGCCTAGGTCTAGACTCCAGTCCTCGAAGAGCAGAGCTAGAACAGCACAGCAGCGAGGCCGTCTTAACCGCTTTTCATGCTGGATCGCGGGCTTTGGCGTCGACCTACGCGGGAGCTGTGTCGGGAGTAGTCGGGACTGATGTAGTGCAGTTGCATGGACTTCTCACTGCTCATTCGGGTGTGGCCACTGGCAAGTTCTCTCCAGCTACGGAAGCGATGGTGACGCCGACTGATATGGACGCTGGGTTTCTCACGACTACGCGAGCGGTCGACGAAGCGGTCAGCTCGTATGTCGCTGATGTACCAGAACCAAGATTATCCGAAATTCTAGTCTGCAAACTACCGACTTCCGAAGAGGAACTAAAGCTTCCTAGCACATCTTCATCACCTTCAAAAGTTGATAAAAGTGCTCTCAGTGGCGAAAATGTCGCTAGTCTTTATGCTATGCCGCAGTCGCTGACTGGAGCGACTTTGCGCGCTTTAGGCAGTCCGTTGGCGGGCAAAGCGAACAAAAGAGGCGCCTGGTTGGGCAACGATGCTGACTACGACGAGTGGAGAAAAAAACAAAGATCCGACTACTTTGAGAGTCGTCGGAAGAAAATAAATGAGAGTGGTGATGCTGAAAGTATAAGTAGATCAAATCTTCTTACAGGAGCAGGACCTCTAGGCACAGCAGCGTCTTCATCTTCTCCAGCAAAGCGACTAGAGAAAGCTTTCCTCACGAGCAAAAGCGACACAGCAGAACAACCTTCTACTTCCTCCTCAAGTCAGTCTCAGTCATCAAGAACTTCCTCCTCTAGTTCTGCCCTGTTCCCGTGGACAGAAGTGAAGGCGCAACTAGACAGTCGCATCTCGGATAATAAGGCTGAGCTACGCAGCGCTAGGGAAGGGGCTGGGAAGCTGTTGAGTAGCAGACGCGCTGCGAGATGGAAAGCTGCTGCCGCGACACGGCAGAACAAGGCACAGGAAGACCAGCATTTAAGGCGCGATGCAATTCATTTCCAACGGCAGCGTTCTTCTGTTGATCTTTCCTTCTGTTGATGTTTCCTTCTGATGTATCCAACGGGGGTTTCCTTCTGATGTTCCCTTCTTAGGATTCTGAAGAATTGGAAATTCATAAGCAGGCAATTACCTAATTGTTTTGAGCTCCTCTAACACATACACATGCTTTTCTTGTGTTCCCTTCTTAATAAATCGTAGGAATAGGATTCTGAAGAATTGGAAAATTGAAAGTAGGCAGCGATTACCTAAAAATTGTCTTGAGCTCCTCTAAGATATGCTTTTCTTGTGCGCGAGGCCAAGGCACGTGCGAGACGAGAGCGACTCCGTCACTTGCAGGAGTATTCGCTGAACTACCGCGTCGAGTTTCAAGACGGCCGCGGACAGCTTTACACGCACAAGGAAACGAACGAACTGGACGTGAACGTGGTGGATGACACGATTCTAGCAAAGCTGTTGCAAGACGAGGTAGCCAAGGTCGAAGTTCCCCCAGTCGGGAGTGTCCAAGTAGAAGAATCCACGTGGGAAAAGCGAATGCCCGCTTTGTTGGAATCTATCGAGATTTCAGCGATGGAAGCAGGTAGTGAAACGGAACGACCTGAACAGCAGTTATTAAGGCTCGATCATGGTTGAAGTTTATAATGTAGATACTTCCGACTTCTATGGTCAACATTTTCTTCTCTTTCCATCTTCTTAGGATTAATGACGAGAAGAAATGAATATGAATTGCTTTTTTTAGCTCCTCTAATAAAACAGCAGAACGTCGGGGCAGACACAGCGGAATCTTCTGCCGGAGGTCATGGCGGTGAAGTTGTTAGAAGTCGGTATGTAGCGAGGCCAGTTTGGCACATGCCGGCTGAGGTTGGCGAGGAACCTCGCAAAGAAACTTCCGAAATCGCGGCACATGTAGAGAACACAGCTGTGAAAGAGTACCAGGAGAAATTGGATAGCATCAAACAAGCGTGGGAAGCGAGTTTGAGAGGTGAGTATGTGGCACCGGAGGACGTCGCAGCTAGAGACGCCGATGCCGCAAACAAAAACGTGACCACTACAGACGTCGTTGACGAGGAATCAGGTGAAACGTACGTCCTGGTAGCTGATAACAACAATGCAGATACTATGCCTCTGGGCGCAGAGGCCGATGCTTTGCACGACAGGCTGATGCGGGACGGTCCAGCCGCGTCGGAGCATCAGCTTTTGCAGCCGAGTGATCTGTCTTTGCCTGACCGAAAACGCGACAATCGATCCGAAATTGCCGCTCTAGGCATGTTCGGGACATCGCCTGCAAGCGACGACCGCTGTTTCGGCAACGACTCCGTAGTGATGTACACCGTTCCCCTCAAAGGCTGCTGCGCTCGAGCGCCGAGTCCCCGACCCAAAAAGGAGATAGAAGCAGAAGAGCTACTAGCTGCAAGTCTAGATCTGAACCATGCCGAAGCGTGGGCTAGATCGATCGGGGGTGTGGTTCCGAATGTCACACGATCGCCAGAGGGAGGTCTCGTCGTACAGAATGTGCCTTTGGCAATGATCGGAGCTTCTACGAGAGACATCATGGCACAAAGCACAACAGGAACAGAGCGTAAGAATCCTCGTGGAGGAAGTAGTAGTGGCACATTTGGTGAACACCATAAAAATAGGTTACATTTTCCTATCGGCAGTCCTCCCAATGGTCGTCTTGGTAGTCCTGGAGGTGAAAACGGAGGTGGAGGTCCTGGAAGCACGAAAAGCATGAGTTCTTCTAGAGGTTTTAGTTTCTCGCACGAGAACGTGGAACGGCAAATGGTCCATGACACTCATAGAGACTATTTGCCGGAGTACGTGACTACAATCCTGAAGGACATGGCGAGCGACGACGCCGCAGACGAAGCTTCGAGGCTCCGCGGAATAGTACGTGTAGTTAAGGTCACTTGAGATAATTTTAATCCATTTTCATTTTTTCGCTTGGTCTCCACCTTCGTTTCTTCTCGTTAGAATTCTGAGAATATCCTCTCCGCAAGAGATGTTGAGATATCATGACCGCAAAAACGAATGAATTACTGTCGTGTTGAGCGCCGCTAATATAAGGCAAAAACAGGAGAAGCCACGTCCTTTGTCCGCCGACGGCCGTTTGCAAGCCAAGGGGAATGCGACGTACTACTACAACAAGCATGAAGGACCGATGCTGAAGGCGAATCTGCAGTCCTTGATACAGGTGAAACAATGTAAAAATACGGGAGCATTGTGCGATCCTGAAGATTCGGGTTATAGTTAAGCGTAGGCTTTAGGCGTTTCTGTTATCCTCGTTAGATACAGTTTTGTCTCGTCTCTTAAGGGGGACGAGAGGCATACGCATACCTAAAAAGCCCTATCGACAACGAGATAACTATAAGCTATTAACGCCAAAGCCCTATCCCTAATCTCGAGGTAACTTGCAGTCGGTCAAGTTTTGGATGCACAACGCCTTGGATGCGCATCGCAGAGCTGAGCGCAAAGCACAGGGATTGTCCTCCAATAGTGAGGACGAATCCGGTACAGATGACAAGAGCAAGGCGCGAAACATCAAAGTCGACAAGAATGACGAAGAATTTTTGATGCGCTATGCAGATCCGATGACTGGAGAAACCGCAGTCCATCGCCACGTCTACGGCCGCTTATTCCATATGCTCTCTTTGATGCCGCAAGACTTAGCCGAAGTCGCTTACCTGCCCTCTGTGAACCACGGGAGTCTAGTGCCCACGATCGGCATCACCGACGAGCAAGCGCAGTCTTTCGTGCGTGCAGTCCACAGAGTAGATCGCGCTGGCATGCTGCAAAGACCCAAAAACGTCGTGAAGCCGTCGCAGGCACAGATGGAGGAGGAGAGCAATACCTTTCCTCTACTAGGAAGGGAAGCAGAATATTAAGGCTCAAAACAATTCATTTCTACAAGTTATTTCTTGCAGTTTCCTTCTTGGGATTCTGAAAAAATGCAGGCAAGAAATGAAACGTTTTGGGCTCTAAGAATACTGCCCGGATGCTGACTGCGAAGGAGCAGTGATGACGATGCCGGATGATCACAAACTCTACGTGAAAAACGTCACCAATCAGGCGTGGGCCGCACAGTTTTTTCATGGGGGTTTTGGAACCGTCCCATCCGCATCCAGCGCGACCAAGGAAAAGGAAGGTGGTGGTGGAGAGCAAACCCAAACACCTACATCTTCACGCAGTGCTGCAGGAGAGGGTGCAGCAACAGGAGAAGATGCTCATAGTGCTAGTAGTACGAAATCACCTAGTAGAGGTGGAGAAGATCAAGAACTTCAACAAGGTGGAGGATCTTCATCCACTGGGGGAGGTGGACAAGATGCTAGTAAGGCGAGTAAGAAGATGCGTCGACGTAGTTCAGGGTCGTCTGTTAAGGTGTTCGCGGCTAATCCATCTAGTTCTTCGGTGAAGCCGTTTTCTTATTTAATAGAGTCGTTTTGTTCAAGGGGAAAAGGAAAACGGTCTGGGTCTCAGGATCAGGATGGCCCTCCTCGAGTGATGGAACAATTAATATAGGCTTTGTATGAGCTCTAAGTCTGGTGATCTATCGATGCGTGGCCCTGGTGGAGGAGGTACGTCAACCTCCGGTGAGGACGAGCAAGCCTCCTTGGCGAAGTGGAGTCCCTTTTATCAACAGAAAAAGCGAAACGAACACAACAACTTCAAACTCCGCGAAATTCGGTTGGTTCCAGGCTTTCAAGATGGCATGGGCTTACCTGGAAGAAACACCGAAGGCCTTAGCTTTGCCAAGCCGATGCAATCAGCGAGAGTTAAAGCTCAGACAACTAATTCATCTTCACAGAGGACTGGTGGTCTCAGTTAATGAATGTGCTTATTGAGAGTTTTTAGTTTTCTTCTTGAATTCTTGTCAAGAGACTAGGAGATGCCCAGAATATGAATTCGTGTGAGCGCCGCTAAGACAGGGAATTTGTATCGCACGTCGCCCATCGTGCAGGAAGCTCTGGATAGTAACGAATTTTTGCCCTTGTCCAGATGGGTGAAAGCAGTGAGTGAGGCAGGTCTGGATGAACGAGGCAGGAAAGTTATGCATTTCCACATTGTTGTATTCTATAATGAACTACCAGTACCATGATTCTTGACAACTACAACTTGTTTCCCACTTATAGAATAGAGCAAGAAGTCAAGAAGCGAATAAGTCAAGGCCGCTGCTCTGAAGAATGCAATAGCGCAACGGAACCACTAAGACAGCGAATGCAGGAGGCTCTGCGAGGTTTTTGCTTGCATCACTGAAGCAAGCCTGTGGAAGTTTAACGAATGCGTTCTTCTGCTTAAGCCAAGCGCCGATAGGAAGCAAAGAAGCACCAATAGGGGGAATGATCATCTCGCGGACAAGATTTCAACTCAATTGGGGTACTAGAAGAACACTGATCATGAAAGACTATGATATAGTGAAGATAATTAGAATATTTATTACAACGACCATTTTTATGCAGCTGTGGCAGTTATCTTCTTAGTTTTTGAATGAGATAATCGACCTAGCATTTGAAGGTGATGAGGAAGAAATACTACCACGTACTATTGCGATCAATCTACATCTAAAAATTTCCGACTTCCAGTACTACTACAGTAATTCTAATTACTTACTTATAATTTAGAAGTAGATTTCCCATTTTGCCATTGAAGTTGTACAGTAATTTACCATTTTGACCTTACTCAGGTGCCCTAATGAAAGAGCGGATGTCCATAGATCCTGATGTCGCGTTCGAGAAGATAGCCGCTGACGCCTCCTGTATCACTCCGATGGACTTGTGTGGAAAAAAGAGCGGTGCAGAATTGATTAAGGGTCCTCCAACATCTCGAAAAAGCTTCTTGGGGCCTTTCTCTAATAAAGTACAGGTTGGTTTACTACGTACTCCCCACTGCTCATAGTCAGAGACGCGCTTCACGAAGCCCAAGAAGATGACTTTCGAGATACTAGATTCCGCGAAGGTCTAAATTGATGTATTTTCTCAACATTCGTCTGCGATGGGCTTTGCAAAAGCCATGCATGCACTACAGTTTGTCCCGATACAAGCAAAAGGTGGACAAAGAGGCAAAGTTAAGGTTTGTTGATGCCGATGGGAACGATTGAGAAATGTTTGTAGCTTAAATTTGAGTGTGAGGCAGTATCATCTACTAAAACTAGAAGGACTATGAGTAGACTATTTTGATAATACTTCATGATCGAGGACCTCTTGCGGCTCTTCTGTTTATGCGTATAATAGAGATAAATCTCTATCTCTATCTCGCTCTCTATATAGCTCCACTCCGAGCTCCTCTAAAAATCGCACGCAGAAATGGCATATCTATACCCTCTGCGGCCGCAAGTTCGGGCTCCAAGCGTAAAGAGGAATTCCACATGATCAAAATTGATACTAAGTTGCAGGGCTTCGCAGGAAACGAGCAACAAAACGAGAATTCACCAGATCATATGAATGGATGAATTAGAATTTATCTAGTACTGCTGTACAATTGAGGACTGTGTCCGAATAGTACTGTGTTGTGGACTGTGTCCGAATAGTACTGTACAATCTTTCTCTAGTCCTTTTCTAGTTAGGCTGGCTCCACCACTAGTACTGATACTGTACAATCAAGACATAATTTGGATTTGTTTTTCAACTGAATCTTCCCCTGGCTTCGGCATTCGCATTGTTGTTACAGGAAGTCATCTGCTACATGCTGCTCCTGTGCTATTTCTGCTTCTTATCTTTCTATGAAGTCCTATCATTATATTGACTCAGATTGCGAGTCAACAGAATCTACTTACTCTACTTACAGAAGCCGCGCTCCCTCTCCACCATCATGTCCACACACCTCGATGTCCTTGTCCCCCTTCCTGCCTTTGTCCCCCTTCCTGCCTTTTCCCTCTTTTCCCCCTATGGTCTTCATACCCCAAGAGGGGAATAATTCGAACGCAGGCGACACACAGAGCGAGGCCTCAGAGGTGGCTAAGGAAAGTGCTGACGCGTTGCAAACTCCCAGACACGAGCTTCCTGAGGCAGACCAACTCCTGGAGACCTACATCATGGACGAGCAGGAAGACGAAGACCTTCAGTGGCTCTATAAACGATCTAGAGAAGTGGAGAGGCTGAATAGATCCGAGTTTATCGAGAAAATTGTTATGGTCGGCAGCTATTATTCGCCTCACTCAGCATCTTGGCACCTCCCTTTTCCCCTGTATTCCCATGAAGTACAAGGATTAAAGGCCTTCGTGGTGAAGTACAACAGGGATGGGGTACACATGAAGCTGAATTTTCGCACGCGCTAAAATCGGCAGTGACTTCGAAATCGCTTGTGCGTGGAATACGAGTCATCAGATTGATCGCGCTATTTCCGAAGAGATGAACTCCATCGTCACTGAAGCTTTGACTCTGTTCGCCAACTCCGCTCTGGCTGAACTGAATCGTCCAAGGAAACCCTTGTACTCTTTAAGGCTTCAAGAAGTTGAAATCCATCGATCCTCCTTAGCGTTTTTGAACAGAATATCTTGATTCTTGTTTCTTCCAGACATCACCATATTTTCAACAGACTTCCAGACACCACCTAGCAGCTCTAAACTGCGTGCCACAGTATCGTAGTGCGGTGAACGCGAAACTGAGAGAAACACGGGATAAACTGGCGGAAAGGCGAGCGGAAGTTTTGTCTGACGAGGGAGATGACATGGCAAAACTACGCGACCGATTGAAAGACGTAAATGCTGAGTTGTTGGATGATGAGATGGTGGCTGCTTTAATTATGGCTCAATATATTATCTCTTCATGATCATTTTACTTGTGCACTTTTTAGAAAATGTAAATGTAGTAAATGAAGGCAAGTACTAGAGTAAGTAGAGCAAGAAAAAATGTAGTAAATGAGGGCAAGTTAAGTAGAGCAAGAAGACCAACAAGACGAAATGAAAGAGAACAGTTTATTTGAGACCTATCTAATTCGATGGATGAAACAGAACAGTTATACGAACGCGTGATGGTGAAACGTGGCAAGAAAGTAAAGAAGCCTATGCACGTCGAATTCGCGGACGATCCGTTCTTTCACGTCCTTCCACCATTAAGGCTTACAACCCTAATCCATTTGCATCTACAACCCCTGAACAAGCACGATCTTGGACTTGTCCTCCCATAATCATGTCGTGTATGTGTTTGTTGGCAGTACTGGCACTCCCCGTGTTGTCTTTGATATCATACCAGAGTAATTTTTAACCTTTGCCAGCTCGCATGGGATGGATCGCATGGAGCTAAAGGGGGCGCCTCGCTCGTCCCTTATGGATCTGCGCTCCATGCTACTCCATGCACTCCATGCGTGCTCTAACCTGCTCCGTATAAGTAATTAATACACCAACCGCTTCATTCAGCCCCATGGTGTTCGCTACGTGCCGCGCTTGATCTTCCTCCATCTCTATCGCAATGCACCCAGCACGCACCGCGCTAGTTTATACTTAGAACCACAAGGTTGAAATACAGCTCCAACGCGATGAGGTCCAACGCGATGAGTCCCCACAAGGTTGAAATATAGCTCCAACGCGATGAGTCCCAACAAGATGGTTTTTATTAAGTAGCTCTAATGGGAGTGATGCGAGCAATCGCTGATACGACTTTATACCGCACCTACTCGCAAGTGTTTCGGGAGATCGGAGGCAGGCCAAAGGATTTCAAAGAGCGACAGCGCGAAATGCAACACAGGAAGAAGCTGTACGAGAGAAGCATAACTATGTCAGCAGCAGGAGGAGCTTCGCAGCCTAGTGGATCTAGTCGCAAACGAGGAGCTGAGGGGAAGTTAGATGGTGGCAATTCGATCGACGGGGGTGCATCGAGACTGAGCAACAGTCGTGGAAGCAAGAAAACTGACGCAAGTGATGCAGAACAAACGGAGGGAACAGACGGCGCTGGAAGTGTCAGGGGAACAGCTGCTGTTGATCATAATCTTATGATACAAGAAGAATATTCATTTTCATACTAGTAGTACTGCTCTCACGACTTCCTTAAGACCACTTTAAGTAGTTAGTACCACTTAAACGGGTCGTGGAGTAGAACGCAATACAACGTCGATAAATCCCAGAAAAAGTATTTTCTTCACCTGTTCCTCCTTAGACCACTTTAGCTTGTACTTCTAATCGCCGACAGCCTGGCGGTCCTATGTACCAGCCGCCGAAGGCAGCGCGAAGCACTTACTCCATGTGGAATGCTGGCGTGGACCTAAAGAGAAACAACATTAAGGTGAACAACAAGAGAGCATCCGCAGCATCCTCCTTCCGTCATCCTTCATCGTGGTCGTCCCCTTTTCATGTATAAGTAGACAGATTATAAGTAGACAGATTATTGGGGGTCACTCAGGGATCACTGCAGGGACGATGCCAATGCGGTAGCTGCTCTAACAACGACAGAACTAGGCCACAAAATGGCTCCCAGCTCTCGGCAACGTTCTCGCAATATTCCTCGAGTATTACAGGAGGTCCGAGTACCCGAGAAAATGATGTGGTACTTCTAGTCCTACCTGTACTAGATTTTGATTTCATTTTCCAACTTGAGTTAGAGCTTACAACAATTCATCTTGGAAGTCATCTTTGACGTATTTCCCCCTTGAAAACGTGTCAGGGATGCCTCTTAAGATGAATTACGGCAAGTCTTAATTGAGGTCCTGTGGTTTTGGATCGATTCGTTTTATTCGGAGGTCAAACACTTAGTCCTAGACCTAAAAACTACTATTCTTGCAATTCATGACCAATCGCAATCTAAAGATCCACAACTACAGTTTAACATCGTCCTTTCTTCGTCGAGAGCATTTAAAATCTCCTTGTCACTCATCAGTTCAACTCATCGGGTGAGTTCTCCTTTCGACCAGGAGATAGCAAAGACCGCAGCACGATGTCTGTTGTGCCTCAAAATGGACACAATAGGTCAACGTCGCTTTCCCCGACGAAACATGGACTTATGTTGATACAGGCAACTTAAATACCTGGTTTGAATTCACAACTTCAGTATGTATTGCATTACTTATCTAATATTAGTGCCTGCTTTGAACGCTTTCTGTCCCTAGCCTTTGCTTTCAAGTTCCAAGTTAGAAGGGGTCCCACTCCAGCTAGAACGCTAAGTGCGATAGCCTGGCGAAGGTGAAACTCAGCCACTTTCGTTTCAGTACTATTACACTATATTAGTGCAACAACTGCTCGGCGTCGTAGGTCTACCTTGCTTTGAACGCTTTCTGTCCCTAGCCTTTGCTTTCGTTTCGGTACTATTACACTAGTACAACAACTGCTCGGCGCCGTAGGTCCACCTCGCTTCTGCTACTGCAGTGGAGGTTCTCCTTCTAACATCCGCAGTCACCAGCACAATATGTCGCAGGAAGTGAGTGCGCACATGATGTCCGTCGACTCGCTCAAATCACATGAGTCTTTTCTTGAAGAAACGCCTTCGTGGTTTCAATCCCAAGAATTATGGCTTGTTACCGTAATTTGTTTCATCTGCTTGAGCTGCATCCTGGGAAGACTTCCTTGTCCATCCTGGGAAGACTTCCTTGTCAAGGGAAACGAATAAGAAGACAGGACGAATGATCCCATCAACACCATGAATTTGAATTTATCACAACAAAGAGATCTCTTCGTGGCGTTACACTATGACGCCTGTAGGCAGTCTGCGCCGTTTTTTGTGCGGGACTAATTGCATTGTCTATTGTATTGTATACCTCGAACCTTCAACCTCCTTGAACCTTCAACCTCCTTGAACCTTCAACCTCCTTGAACCTTCAACCTCCTTGAACCTTCAACTTCCTTGAACCTTCAACCTCCTTAACCTCCTTGGGCCTTCAACCTCCTTGAACCTTGAACCTCTAAAACACGCTGCCTTCCAGAATCAGTTGAAGAAACTGCAATCGAAGAAAGTGAAGAACACGCTTTTGGCAGTCTCGGAACAACATCGACAAGAGAAGGAATACCTTAACAAGAACATCCTGGGATTGAAAGACGGAAAGCCGATCTATGTTTAAGGCTTGGTTGAAGTAGAAGTAATTTCCTCGTAGGTGTGGTATCTATTACTAGCATTGAAGTAGAATGTTCGCTTTTTGGTGAAGATTAGGTGGCATCGAAGATACACTAATTGTTCATTTGGACAAATGAGACGAATGACAGTCATTTGAAACTTTGATCAGACTTCTAGGTTATCACACCTACTTACAAAAATCCACTCACTTTGTTCATCTTTCTCTTTATTTTCTTCTGTTTCCGTCTGTCTTGGAGGATTCTGACAATGATGGGACTCTGAAGGCAGGAAAGATGTTGGATCTAGTAGAAGTTATTTTCTCACCATCTTCCGTACTACTAGACGAGAAGTTTTACTCTCAACAATGCACGTCGAAGAAGTTGTTCCTCTAGCTCTAATGCGTGTCGAATAAGGCGACAGGAACTGAGAAAAGCTATGAACGATTCGGAGTGAGCTTCCGCGGCGCTCGCAGTAGTCCTCCTAGAGGCCGTGGTCGGGGTGGAGGTGATGAGGAATAGGATCAATAAAGAAGGGCTCCACTGGATGAATTAGATCAATGAACACGATTGAGTACATCAGTGCAATAAATGCATCGTTAAAAAACCCGAGTCTGGAAATTAAATGTTGAACAAGTAGCTGTAGTAAGTTCTATTTTTCTTGAGCTAGATGTACAGAAATTTTGTAGTGACACGAAAATGTACTAGAAGAGGAATTTTCGCCAATGAAGAACTCACAAGACCGGATCGATCAGTAAAAAACAAGATCTTCGTAAACAGGAACCAAACCAAGACAATTTCAACAATTCTTGTGATAACAATGAACAATTTCGTAACCCTTGTTGGAACTTAAGAAGCGACTCTTCTAAAAAATGAAAGAGCTATTGTATCTTTTGCAACACATCGTGGTGGTCCACCTTGAACAAGAATCAATATGATTTTTATTGCAACCCATGACTGTTCGGTAAACCCATTCTTGTTCGGCAAAAATAATCCTCATCGTAATTCTTGACTACGTCTTCTCACGTTAATGTCTACTGTGTTTTTTCGCCTTCGTCTGGTCCAGGGCTTAGAGGTCGTGTATCTCATCTCCTCCAGCTGAAGATATCCAGAGTTGTAGTATGGCGTGCGACCACCATCACAGTCGTCGCAGGAGCTGTAGTTCTCTATCTTTTGTTTATCACTCAATGAATTGACTCAACACCATCGCAAAAATCCACCGTTCCGAAAGTAGAACCTGTTGTCTCGAGTTAGCAGCAACTCGAAACGTGAAAGGATTTTGGAATCGTTGGGAACAGAAATGATCTAGAGTTTGTCAGAGAATATTAAGAATATTCAACTACTCTATAACTATAGGGGGTTCATCAATGATGTAGATGCTGTACCTTCAAATTCCCTATTGACGCAGAGAAGCAGCGGGTGACGCGAGATTCACCGAGCTCAAAGTAGCTGCCGAGCTCAATTATGCTGCTTTGCACAGCCCAAAGGTGGCATTAGGAGCATTTAGAGGTTACGTTACCCCTCTCGGTTCTACTCCATCTCACAGTTGTTCGAAGGAGGATTCATTGATGTTGAAGTTGAACAAGGTGAACTTTAAATCATGATCTAACACGCTGATCGAAGCCCATTCGACTAGCCCCGACGCAACTGGCGAACGCGTTCCTTCACAGTCTTGGTCGTGTTACCTTTAGACACCTCTTTTCCCTTACTCTTTTTCTGTCATGAGGCATGGCCGCCTTCATTCTCGCACACGAGCTGAAGGAGAATACAGGGCAGTGCCCACTTTCTCGCGTTCGAATCCCCATGACTCACTTTCCCACACGCCTGCGGATGGAAGCTTGACCCAATCAGGAGCACAAGCTAACGATGTTGGTAGGCCCCCACTTAGTACTGGTTGTCTACCAGGCCATATATCCGTGTGCCGACTGTGGCCAGCCATTCGCTTCGCAGCGAACAGACAGCCAGGCAAACCCACCGCGCCACTGGGGACACAATGGCCACTGATTCCTGCTTTACCGCGAACGCGGTCCCTCACAGACTAGCGCCACCTTTGGGCATCTCTTCTTCCTTACTCTGAATTATTGCCTTCATTCTCGCACCGAGGTTGAACTGGTCTAGCGCGTGTAGCGCGCAAGTGACGCCCAGCTTACTCGCGTTCGAATCTCAATGCCTTACTTGCGCACACACCTACGTGTCGTGAAACGCTGAACCCCTTGAGACTGACACCAAAATGACGAGAGTGGGCCCTTGCTTAGTAGAGATAGGTTCACCAGCCATTCGGGCAGCCTAGCGACTGTGATTGCCCCATTCCCTTCGCAGCGCACAGCCAGCCAGGCAAACCTGCAGGAAAACTAGGGAGCCAATGGCCACTACTTCAGACTTTAGCGTAGAGCAGCGCCTCCGCTACGCCTCCTACAATTCGAGAGCGCTGACACGTCTGTCTTTGATAGGAATCGTCGCACAACTAATTGTCAAATATGGTCAGTGGCTGAATGGTTAGTAGTGAAGTGCCAGTATCATCGCTCACGCCTAGAGTTCGAAACCTGGAGACAGTGTGCGAGCCGCCGAGCTGCAAATTAAGGGAAAGTGCACCCTCTGTTCGACGTATGGAAACAAGGCACCTGCTAGATTGAGTCTGAAAATGTGGTCGAGCTGACCGTGCATCCGCAGGCCCGAATAACCGAATGACAGGCCACTCGGTAAACCTTTCGCTCTCAATACATAGGTATGAGCTCACCAACCGCCCACAGTGCATCACGCAATGTAGGCGAGCGGGTAGCGCCACCAGTTTCCTCCACGCCGACATGAAACACCGAAGGTTCGAGTCCGGCTCAAGGCATTCGGCCCTCCGGAATGAGCGCAAGATGTGTGCGCATCCTCTTCTCACCACGCTTCACAAAGAATGTCACTTATCGCGCCAGGCGCATCGCGAATAGTTGACTACACTAACTTTGCACACTGTTTGTTTTCGCTTTGATTCAGAATTTACCTAACCACATCCATTGCGTTGAAGAAGGCAGGCGAGCGGGTAGAGCGTCCGCCTGGCTCCGCGCCATGCCGAAACACCGAAGGTTCGAAGCCAATTCATGGTATTTAGACTTCTGTAATGAAGAAAAAAAGACGCCTGATAATCCTACCAAAAAGGAGGCTATTACTTCCGGTAGACTCGTCGCGAATAATTGACTACACCTTGCACACTCTTTTCGCTTTGGTTAGGAATACCTAACCACCCCCATTTCATTAGAAAAGCTAGGCGAGCAGGTAGAGCGTCCACCTGACTCCGCGCCATAGCAAACTACCGCAGGTTCCATCCCCGCCCATGGCATTCGAGCTTCCTGAAATATGAGAAGACGCAAATAATTGATTACGCTAACTTTGCCAACTCTTTTCGCTTTATGTAAAAATACCTAACCACGCCCGTCGCATTAGACAAGGGGGGCGAGCGGGTAGCGCGCCCACCTGGCTCTGCGCCGAGACGAACTCCCTTAGGTTCGACCCCCACTCAGAGAGAGTTCTCTCCTCCGGAATGAAAAAAAAGGCGCCTGCGCATCTCCTATCCCCACCACTTCCCACAGAGGAAGTTACTTTTTGCGGCAGACTCGTCGCGAATAATTGACTACGCCAACTTTGCGCCCGTTTTTTGAACAAGAATAAGTAACCGCTTATGTTGCAGCATACCATGAGGGCGAGTGCAGAGTGCGTTCGCCTCGTGCCGCAACGATACGAACCGCGAAAGGCCCGAATCCCATTGATGGCAGCCGGGCCTCCCCGATGCAAGTGCGGCGCTTGCACACCCTCCTCTCACCCCTTCCCACGAAAGATGGCATTTCTTGCCCCCGAATCCTCACGAATAATTCATTAACATGACATGGCCCCTTTTTACCGCTCCCTGTTTGCCACGGGGTTTTTGCATGTGTGCTACATTTCTCCACTTCATTTTTCCACTCTCGCCCCACCACTTTCCACGAAGAATGTGATACTTTGCGGCAGAGTCGCCGCGAATAATTGACAAATGCTACTCTGTCGGCTGATTCTCCGCCGATCTCAGTCCCCTTCGTCTCCACATAGTGCGGTGACTTCTTGTAGCTTCCGAGATTCGAACTCTCTGTGGTATATCCGTGGGATGGGCAGTGCGACGCTTACACCATGGGGCCAGCCTTTCGTGTCATGGTTTGCCGCCACCAAGCCGTAGGGCCGAGATCGCCCTCCATGGAGGCCTGCGAGAAAACCTATGAGGGGGGTGTGTTCCACCCCCATGGGCTTTCCGACCAACCAGAGCCTGCCCCCTGTAGGGTCCCTCTTGGTCTCCCAGCAAAGGCAGCCGGGGCCCTGGCTACCGGGAGACCAGTGGAGACCCGACAGAAGGCCAAGGAGGCAGGGGCGAGCGATATGGCTTAGACCGCCCTCTATGTATAGGGGCTTGCGGGAAACTCCGGCGGGAAAGTGGTGCGCCATTTTTCCCATTAGTTTCGCACGGCGCGGCGACTCTCTCGCTCCTATGTGTTCATCTTAACTTAAGTAGCGAGGGAGCAGGGGCTTTCGCACTGGACTGGCTGAGGGGCTTGCGCCTGGATTCTTCTATGCCGTCGCCCGTCGGCAAAAAGGAGGCGGCGCGCCTAATGGAGAAAGAGCGACGAGCCCTATAGGGGCTGGCGGGAAACTCATGCGGGAAAGTGGTGCGCCATTTTTCCCATTAGTTTCGCACGGCGCGGCGACTCTCTCGCTCCTATGTGTTCATCTTAACTTAAGTAGCGAGGGAGCAGGGGCTTTCGCACTGGACTGGCTGAGGGGCTTGCGCCTGGATTCTTCTATGCCGTCGCCCGTCGGCAAAAAGGAGGCGGCGCGCCTAATGGAGAAAGAGCGACGAGCCCTATAGGGGCTGGCGGGAAACTCATGCGGGAAAGTGGTGCGCCATTTTTCCCATTAGCTTCGCACGGCACAGCGGCTCTCTCGCTCCTATGTGTTCATCTCCACTTAAGTAGCGAGGAAGCAGGGGCTTTCGCACTGGACTGGCTGAGGGGCTTGCGCCTGGATTCTTCTATGCCGTCGCCCGTCGGCAAAAAGGAGGCGGCGCGCCTAATGGAGAAAGAGCGACGAGCCCCGTGCCATTAGTTCCCATGGGGGTGGGGTCTCCTCGCTTCTATCAGCCGCGCGGCAGGCCTTTCCGCTTGCCTTCTGCGAGTCTGAAGCCATCAGGGTTGAGAATCCGCGTGGGGTTTAATTCCCAAAAGTTTTAGACCCGTGTGAGGTCTCTTCCGTTTGGCCATCCTTTCCCCTCCCCTTCTGCAAGCCTGAAACTATCACGGACTGGACGCCTGTCGGCTTATCGCGGGCCGGCTGCTAGGCAGCCCGGCGCTGCGCGTCTGTTGTCGACTAATCGCGGGCCGGCTGCTCGGCAGCTCGGCGCTGCGCGTCCGTTATCGACTTATCGCGGGCGGGCTGCTCGGCCGCCCTGCGCTGCGCGCCTATTGTCGACCAGTCGCGGGCCGGCTGTTTGGCAGCCTTGCGCCGCGCGGCTATTATCGACCAAGCGCGGGGCGGCGGCGGGGCGGCTCTGCGCTGCGCGTCTATTCTCGACCTGTCGCGGCAGTCACGGCTTCGAGAGGCGGCGACTTTTTAAGGGGATCACCTTCCCAGCCCGAAGGGAGTCGCACTCCGCAGGGCATTGCGAGGACCGCGCGCCACCTAGTGGCGGAGGCAGGGTTTTTGGCACCAGCTGCGCGACAAGCGAACAAACGAGCGCACAGCGAAGGCGCCGAAAAGAGGCGACTTTTTAAGGGGATCGCCCTCCCAACTCGAAGGGGGTCCCACCCTTAAGCGAATTGCGACGACAGCGAGCCACGTTGTGGCGGGTGCAGTGCTTTAGGCACCAGCTTCGTGACAGGCAAACAAACGAGCGCACGACCGCGGACAGCCGAGGCCTCGAAGAGAGGCGGCTGCCCAAGGGGGGCACCCTCTCAGCTGGAAGGAAGTCGCGCCCTTAAGCGAGTCGCGAGGACTGCGCGCCACCTAATGGCGGGAGCAAGGTCTGAGGCATCAGCTTCTTGACAGGCAAACAAACGAGCGCGTGACCGCGGACAGTCAAGGCGTCGAAAGAGGGCGACACCTTAGGGGGGGAGCCTTCCCAACTCGAAGGGGGTCGCGCCCTTAGGCGAGCTGCGGGGAGTGCGCGCCACCCCGTGGCGAAAGCAGGGCCATGCGCTGCGGAATCTCGTGCGCGGTTTGCGCTGGCCTGGGCCGGGTTCTCAGTAGGGAGGGGAATCGGTGGAATCGAGTGGGGACCCCGAGCCAACTGGGAGGAGGTGGCGAAGCCTTCTCCGGATTCGTTTCCAATGGGTTGCGATAGAGGGCGGCACTGTCCTTGAAGGGATGAGAGGGCCAGGGACAGCGATGGGGGTGAAAAAGAGCCCGTCCCCTCGAAACCGATACCCGCATGAAAGTCGAAACCATTAAGGGACGACATTTCGCGAATTCGAAACGGTTAAGGGACTCGCAAAACGGTC